GACAGCGACACCGACACCGACAGCGACAGCGACACCGACAGCCTTTATTGGCGCTACAGGGGCGCCGCCAACCGCTCCAGCTGCCGCGGGTTGGAGCCGCTCAGGAACCGCAGCTCCGCTTTGCCGTCCTCCGTCCGAGCTGCGGGAGAGAAGGAAGACAAGTTGGGGACACCGGTGCCTCCGGGACACCGGGACCCCTCCCCGGGACCCCCCCGAGGGGAGCTGACCTTTCTCGTGCTGCAGCCACTTGCGGTCCAGGTAGTAGCCGTAGCAGCTCTCGAACTCCCGCGGGCTGTAGTTGGGGACCGGGATGGGCACGAAGGGGTCCAGCGCATCGAAGCCCTCCTGGGAAGGAGAAGCGAGGGTGAGACGGCCCCGCACCTCGGCCGGGGAGAGGACACGGCCCCGCCACCCCCGAGCGCCGGCAGAGCTCACTCGGGAGAATAAGGGTGTAGGGGGCTGAGCGGGGAGCGGAGCACCGTCTGCCGCCCTGACCTGAAGGCAGCTATGGAATCGCAGAATTGTTGTGGTTGGGAAAGACCGATAAGATCATCGAGTCCAACCATCAACCCAGCGCTGCCAAACCCACCACTAACCCACGTCCCTCAGCACCACGTCTGCCCTTCTTCTAAGCACCCCCAGGGATGGGGACTCCACCACGTCCCTGGGCAGCCTGTGCCAGTGCTGGACAACCCTTCTGGTGAAGAGATTTGTTCTAATCTCCATCCTAAACCTCCCCTGCTGCAACGTGAGGCCTTTTTCTTCTTGTCCTATCTCCTGTTTCTGGGGAGAAGAGACCAACATCCCCCTCACTACCCCCTCCTTCCAGGGAGCTGTAGAGAGCGAGAAGGTCTCCCCTCAGCCTCCTTTTCTCCAGGCTGAACACCCCCAGATCCCTCAGCTGCTCCTTGTACGACTTGTGCTCCAGACCCCTCACCAGCTCCGTTCCCCTTCTCTGGACACGCTCCAGTACCTCAGTGTCTTGTTATGAGGGGCCCAAAACTGGACACGGTATTCGAGGTGGGGCCTCACCAGTGCCGAGTACAGGGGGACCATCACTGCCCCAGTCCTGCTGGCCACACTATTGCTGACACAAGCCAGGATGCTATTGGCCTTCTTGGCCACTCAGGCACGCTGCCGGTTCATATTCAGCCGGCGGTTGAAACTGCTTTCCCAAACCAGCAGTTCTGTTTGTTTCCCAGTGTGAAAGGGAGAAAAAAAACGGGGCCGTGACTCACCTTTCCCAGCAACTGCTGGGGCAGATAGGCAGAACTGGGTGTGAAGAGCGAGCCCGTCTGGCTGAGGGTTGCCACAATAGCACCTCCGTTCTAAAAGGCAGATTAGGAACGCGTTCAGCTGCAAACGTTGCATTTGTGAACTCGGTACGGATTGATTCCAACAAGCGAGGTATCATCTTCTTTCATCTTACAGTTACTTCAATTCCAAAATTCTATATAATGGACCTCTTGTAATGCTCCTACCTACCTTAACCCTGGCTGCTCCAAGTACGGCTGCGGCACAGGCAGTGTGCAGCCAGCGTTTCCAGGGCTGGCATTTAAACGCGGCATTCTTACCTGTAAATGGCTTTCTATTCACACAACTTTAGAAAGGACTTTTCTATATACTTTTAAATCCGAAGACTACCCGTTTGAGATGCTAGCATCCAGGGGATTGAAAAAGAAGCAGAAGGAGTTGACCTCCTACAGCAAAACATTTAGAAACTACAAGTTCTCATTAGTTCAAAAATCATAAAGTGTCCTAAGGGTTATTAAATACCTCTAGCTCGGGTAGCGTTTGGCACAGTAATCAAGAAAAGCATTGTTATCTATTCGACCTGTTCTTATTCTCTTTGGGTGATGTCAGAAACGCTGACAAGAGACTAACCCTGAACAGTTGCGCTGTGCTCCTCCTCTCCTTCGCTGAAGGGACAGTGGGATGCTAAATTTGCAGTTTTATGCTTATCAGCACGTAGCCGTAATTGCTGAGAATAACACACCCAAAGGTACAGACCGAACTCACCCAATCATTCATCACCATCTTCCTTAGATTGTACACAAGCGTCAGCTCCTCTGGAGAAACCTGGTGAAGATTGTCTGTGTGAGGGTTTTTTGCCAGCAGTTTCTACCCGAGACATACATTTCTCTCCCCTACTTTAAAGCAGACTGGAGGGATTATTTGCATCGTGTAGGTGCAATTTTTTCCTTGCTTTTACTTAGCGCTGTAGCATTCGACCTCAGTAACTTCACAAGGAGACATGCCCCAACCTTTCCTGCTCTAACAAGACATATATGCACTTTTTTTCTTTTACTTTCTTCAGTAAAAAATTGTCTAAAGCATAATATGAATTTTGCAGGTCCCTCCAAGCTGGCAAAGCCAAATGTACGTCTTTCAGGGATTAGTATAGAACTTAAAAATCAACAGAACCCCCTCCCCTGCTCTCCCTTGCAGTAGGAATGCAGAAATATCATCACAGCAGATCCCTTCTTACGGGGCTTTTGTCTTCCTTCTTCAATGTCGTCCTTCCCCAGAGCGCGTTGATGCCGTCCACTGCCACAAGAAGTCGGAATGAGCCGAGATGACACTGCTGCTTAAGCTCTTTCAGCACAACCCCTACAGCATCGCTGGCATTTCTCACGCGAGCTAAACCCTTTAAGTAGGAAAAGGCACATAACTCAGGTTGGTTTTCTCGCCAATATATAATGCTGGCAACTTTGGGTACTGTCCGCCCTTTCTAAGCGGGAAGGAAGGTACAATGACAGTCAGCGGTCTGTTTGTTCCTTTCAAAGGAGCAATCTGGTCTAAGGTACCCGGCATCGAAGACGGAGGAACTTTCAAATTCGAATTTTTGCTTCCACCCAAGTTCTCTGTACAACTCCCATCGCATCTTTCACAACATTTTTTTTGCAGCCACATTGTTGATAGGGAAATGCCTTCCAGTTCCTGGAACCGGGATTCGTTAAGCTCTTTAGAAGCAATTTGTCCTACACGCACAATGACGGCATCTTATGATAAGAGGTGAGACAAAGCCAGAAGCAGTTGTTATTCCTTACCTGCTCCACCACTTCACCCAACGGTCTGCCCGCCTCAGTGCTTTCTCGTTTGCCCCACACGTATTTTTTTTGTGTTTTTATCTGCGGTAAGAGAAAGACAAGTAGATTGGGAACTACGTAGTGCAAAGGCAGCTCGGGAAGTCTGGATGGCAAGACTCCCGGTTCTTTGCCAGCGGTAAAGACTAGCGCAGAATCGGGGAGAAGTATTCATCGCAAATAGCCATCCCCACAGTGGGGATTTAAGGCGCTTCTTTTTCTACAAAACTCCAGTGAAGGGGAGGGTTTGTGGATTTGCATGCACTACATGAAGCATTTCTCTAGAATTAGCAAATCTAGAATTCGTGTCAAGGTGCAGCCCCCGACAGAGCCTACAGACCTCTTTTAGGAAGCGCTCATTTGACGTTTTGAAGTTCTTGAGCCAGAAAGATGCTTGCAAAGGCTGGTCAAGCCGTTCTTTGTTGTAGGAAGACTGCATAAGCTCCCTGCAGTTTTTCACCCAGAGATGAGCTGTGAGCAAAATAAAACAGTTG